CTGAAAATGGAAGTTTCAATAAAAAATTGAGTCTTATCATTCTTAGATGGTGCCGAAATCAATTTAGTAAAACAATTGTGGACTTTGAAGAGATGATGAAGCTTGAATTTCTAAAACAAACAAATAGAAAACAACAAAAACTTTATGCTTATTTTCTCTTTGCTATATTATACTTATGATAAATGAAATTTCATGTTTCAATATGAAAGCAAAATATCACGAGAACTGTATTAATGGACCTGATATGAGAATATAAAATATTTTCTAAGTTTATAAAAGGGTGTGGGCCAAATTTTGACATTTCTTGCAAGGATTAATAGGCCCGTCAGTTCATTCTGTGTTTTCTGAATGCTTTATTCCACGCTATACTTTTTAAAGTGTTCTGTGATCCTAATTTGGAAAGTGCTGACCTAGTTAGTAGGTGCTCTGGGAAGAAGATCCTGGGAAAGGGTCTGGGTAGAGAAATAAACAAGGAGCCTGAAAACATGTATGTAATATCAGGAGGTGAACTATCAAAATACATGGAAAAAACTAATTTTACCATGAAGTATCAAAATCCTTTAAGTTGGATCTTAAAGTGAGAGTGGGGTAGTCTGGTTCCTCAAAGCTGTAGTGTGGATGATAGTCAAATAAGCTTAATGGTTAGCTAAGTTTATAAGGGCCCCTGATTTAAAAAGGATTAATAGAAACCATAATAACCCAATGTGCTTACTTCTAGGACAATAACTCTCAAACCAGGTCTCCAATGTCCCCATTAGAAAAATCTGTACAGACGTGAGGGGTGCTGCCAGGCAAAGTTTGGAAGACAGACTTTATGGAGTAACCCCATGGATCTTCCATACTTAGAGAAAGCAAGCCTTAGGACCCTAAAGGTCTTGACCAGCCTCAAGATACCTATACCTGTGAGCATGTCATGGATCTCTAGTTGCTCTCTAAGAAATGATCACCAGATAAGTGATGACGGCCTCCTGGCCTTCCTTCGGTGTTACATGCTCCTTGTTTGGTTGTTCTTTTTATGTTAGGGATTAACGTCAGCCTGTCTTCTATCAGATGGGTGGAATCATGTTGGATGCAAGCACATGAGCATAACTGGCACATGTCCTTTCAGAGGTTTAATAAGCAAGTAAGTACTGACTGAGGCTCTTGGCATACCTCTGTTAACATTGACATTTATATCTGTGCTTAACCTGTGCATTTCCCAGGAAATCTTTGCTGGATGGTTTCAAACTGTCATGAAAACATCTTGTCCCTAATGCCCTCAAGTGGTTATGGCTTCCCCAGTACTGTCCCTGTGGGAAAACAATACTGTAGTCAACATACCTAAAATTATAGTCCAGGGAAATGATTTAAAACAATGCTAGATCTCTCTCCAACACTCCCAACCAACAAATACAGGACAATATATGGAGCCTTGATGAAGACTAATTATGTATTCCATCGGTCTAACTAGACTAATCCAGAGTCCCCATCACGCATGGTTCTGTATATGACCTTTCCCATGGCTTGCATCCAGTTAACTGAGGTAGTACCACAAACATACGACTTCTCATTAAAAGGTTTGTGTGTGTGTGTGTGTGTGTGTTTTATGGAGAGAGATTTTTGTTATAGGATACATGTGCTCACTGAAGAGACAGAGAGACAGAAAGTGAGAAATCACCCCCTGGGGGGATGTCCATGCTGCAATCCTTTCTCCATTCTCCTCTCAGAATCTTGGGCATGCACCCACATGCACCTGGCAAGAGTTTTTTTGTTTGTTTGAGAGGATTTTTGTTGTTGTTATTGTTTTAGGGGCATGTGCACTTGCCGGAGACACAGAGACAGAGAGACAGAAAGTGATAAATCACTCCCTGGGAGGATGACCATGCCACAATCCCTTCTCCTCCAATCTCCCCTTGGGATTTTGGGCACACAGACACATGTGTTTGATGTGAGGTTTAAGCTACCGGGTCTGGGGCTTGAATTGTCATAGACTGTGGTAGTCCAGCGATGGAAACACTATGCCATCTGCAGGTACCAAGTTTTTTCTTTTGTGTCTTAAACAGATCATGTGTGAACCATAAAAACAATACACATGACTATTCCGGGCTGCTCAACTTTTCTAAGCTGATAGGTTGAGTCACTTCTTTTGATGCCCTGAGTGCCTATACACTCAATGGTACTCATATGTACCTTGGCATTTTGACAAAGGAGCAGAAGTAAAGCTATATTGCAAACCATACCAGGTGACAACCGAAGAGTGCCCCAGCCAGAGGACCCAAAATATGCAAGGCCTGAAGCCTACAACCAAGGCTCTGAATCTTAGCTACTCTTTTCTTTTTTTTCTTACTTTTTAGAATTATTTTATTTATTATTATCTTTTTAAATTTTTTCATTTTGTTTTATTTTATACATTTGATCACATTTTTATTTGGCTTTCAAAATGGATATTTCAACAGGTGAACATTTATCCCTAGTACAGTTGATAAAACTACAAAATATCTTCAACAGATAATTCCACATTTCTTTGTGCCATTAATGCTTTGCCTATTTTTCTTCTAAATGTCCTTCCTCAGACCCTCCTCTTATTAGCTACTCTTTCTATATCAACAGACTACAGTCAGCCAAATACAATCTATCAGAACACCCTAAGTTTAGACTGTGACGTTTTCCCTTGATACAACTCAACTTACAAAGGTTTGACTTGTCTGTGTGTCTCCCTGAAAATATACTCCCTACAAATCAGACCAGGAGGATGTACACAAGGAACACCCTGATTCTCCTCATAAACAACATCTGGCATGAAGGAGAACGCACTTTAGGGTTCATCATACCAGGAGGCATCACACGTAATGTGACACCTACAGAAGCTCAGGCCAAAAGTAAAGGGTGGTAGGCCTCATTTTAGCAGGAATTGGGGCAACCATAAGGCTAGTAGCCCATGGGGGAGGATTCGCTTACCATGGAACCACTCTGTAAAACTTACTAATGCTTTAGAAACCTTGACCAGAAGCACAGGGGATTCTCTTAAGAACCTACAGATTTCCCTAGATTCATTTGCAGATGTAGTGCAGAAACCAGGAAGCCCTGGAACGCTTACTGGCAGATAGAGGAAGGTATGTGTGATGTCTAATACTTCCTGTTGCACATGGGTAAACCCTTCAGGAAAGGTGGAAATAAGTATCAAACAGGGATTAAACCAATCAGCCTGGCAACTACCTTTCACCAAAAACAACATTGCCA